TTATTTGTTATAAGATTGATTTAGTTATAAACAAAACCCCCCAATAGTTATACGAAGCATAAATTATTGAATGTACAATTTTCGTGGGATCGACCCCTTACTTTCATTACTACATTAGTTTTAGAAGTTTAAGCACTATTTTTGGGTGCCTACGACAGCACATCACTACTTCATTGTAGAACAAGAGGGGGCCAAAACTCACTAATTCTCTTCGACTATTATTGCATTTTTAGGATTAAAAGACCATTTGTGTATATAATATAGACTATATTCATCCATCAATTTTTTGGTGTTTGATTTTTGATTTCGATGGGCGGCAATTGCTGGTTTAAGGTTGTGGTGGAGGCTACAGTAGACTATCGTTTGGGTGGAAGCTACGGTTTAAGGTGGCTGTGGGTGGGGTTATTCTGGTTTAGTTCTGGAATGAGGTTTCATTATTTTCCCATTTTTGATTTTTCAAAATTATTTTTACTTATTTTATGTGGTAATATTATAAAGTTGTCGGTTTACCCTCAACATAATTGGTCAAAAATGTCGAAATCTATTTTCTCGGTCAACTGATAGTATATTAAACGGTTTTTATTCATTTGGAATCCAGCTGCAATATTTTGAAAGGATTGTGATGACGATTGCTATAAATAAAAGAAAAGGTGAAAGTTTGCAACTGTTTGAAAGGTTTGGAAGTGCAACTGCAATTATCCCATTTTTGATCTATTGAATATGTAACCCAAAATTCCATGTTGATTTTGTGTTTTGGTTGAAAAATGAGTTAAAGAGAGATCAAAATTGACAATTAACGTTTGGAGCAGCAACTGGGTGTTTAGGTGCCCAAACGGGACACCAAGGCGCCAATTGGGATAAAAAAATTAGATTATGTACTGAAATTCGACGCTGGGGCACCATTGGAAGAGTCAGTTTGCAACTCGCTTCCCGTCGAGCGCTGGGCGCCACTCGCCCGCCACTTGAGCGGTAGTGTTATTAGGGAAAATATTGTTTCCTTATTTTTAGCTTCTTTTTTATTCTGTTTCTAACCATAACATATTTGTTTGGGTCCTATATATAGTCCACGACTTGTATGGCTTTCATATGACTTCTAGAGTGTTAGAATTGTATTAGATACACAATATTCTTTGTATTTCTCTCCATTATTAATAAAAATCTGCGTCCCACTGTCATATTATTGTTTTCTCCTTATATTGTGATCATTACTTCAAATTGTGTCATTCATCTTGCTCATTATTAAAATGTGGTATTGTTTGTCGATTGCATAATCCTTGTTAATTCGCTAACAAGTGGTATCAGAGTCAAGTTCGTTGTTTTCGCAATACTTGATCTCTTTTTTGGGATGGCAACCATGAATTATGCTAAGCTTTTTTATCGCAATATAAGATTTTTGTTGTGGCAGGTAAAGATGTAAGCAGTGCTCGCTCAAATTGATTTGGACGATACTTTATTAAGATTTAACAAGATACCCTCAAATTGGTCGACGGAGAAGAAAAATGTAAGGAACGAAAGGCTCTATCATAGATTCATCTTCATTTTTCGAATAATATTTTTTAGGACGTTTTGAATGAGAAAACTACAACCGAATTATGGTTAAAGTTGGAGCAATTGTATATAACTAAGAGTCTAACCAACAAATTGCATATAGAGTTGCGTTTGTATTTCACCACATGACATGAGGTACATCATTTGAAGAAAACCTCGCCATCTTTAGAGAAATCATCGCTGATTTGGAGGTAAAATATGATGAAGAAGATTTGGCCTTGATTATACTGTGTTTGTTGCCTGCTTCGTTTATGTCGTTTAGATACACTATTTTATATAGTCGTGATACTCTCATAATTGAAGATGTGTACGTTGCTTTGTTTTCAAAGGAGAAGATGAAATATCGGGTTGGATCTAAGGTTAGAAATGGCGAATGTATTCTTTTTTATGGTGGTCACAGAAGGTAACGTTTAGCAAGGGGACTTCTACAAAAGTATTTAGAGTTGATTATGCTTCAGGGCGTGTTTCGACCCAGGATGGCAATTTTTGAATTAATTGTGATTGTATTGCTTGTTGTAATAATTCTAGCAATTTTGATATTCGAGGTTCTGTTGAGTGGTGTTTGGATTCAATTAATTGAGTTTGTCCTAGTGGACTTTGTGAAAGAGGAGAATTTTTGTTGGGGAGTGCTTTATTGAAGAGCCATTAGTTTATTTCTTGAATTTGTCTCCAGTAGAGAAATTTTGATGATCTATTTGCTGTAGTGAAATTTGTGTCAAGGTGGAGATTTGTTGAATATGTGACCCAATGTTCAATGTTGATTTTGTGTTTTGGTTTAAAAAGTAGTTAAAGAGGGATCAAAGTTGACAATTGAAGTTTGGAGCAGCTATTGAGTACTCGGGGTGCCCAAACGGTGCGCAGGCACCAGTCGGATTGAAAATTGAAATTTACCAAAACTTTGTGTCGGGAAGCCATTGGGAGTGCTGATCTGTTGCTCACTTCCAGCTTGAGTGCCGCGTTCCGCTTGCCGACGGTTGTCTATCACTCGAGTGGCATTGTTATTTAAGGAAATATTATTTCCCTAATTTTGGATCCTTTTTTTTTATTATTATCTTTTTTCCGACCATAATATATTCTTTCGAGTCCTATTTATAGTCCACAACTTGTATGGTTTTCATATGACTTTGAGAGAGTTAGAATTGTATTAGATGAACAATGTTCTTTGTATTTCTCTCCATTATTATTAAAATCTTTGTTCTTCCGTCATATTATTGTGTTCTCTTTATATTGCGATCACTACTTCAAATTGTATCATTCATCTCGCTTATTATTTCGTGTGTCGATCACATCATTCTTGTTAATTCGCTAACATTATGCAATACCGCTCATTTTTTTAATGGCATATGATAAAATTTCTGTCCAAGAAAATGCTTACCAGTGTATATTAGTTTTCTTTTTCAATCATAACAAATTAACCATTATGATCTGTTATATCCCGTCAAATATATTGATGACACTGTGCCAAAAGGTTCAAATAGTCGGCAAGACCACAAGAAAAGAAATATGAACAGGGGACCAATTGACCTTCCAGAAATTCAACATAATTCAATACCATAATAACTTTCTTGCCCAATTGAGCCCTTGGAAGAACAAATGAACACATTTTCATTCTACTCTCCAGCTCTCTAAATTTTACTCTAGAAGGTCGATTCTCTATCTCCAATACAATCGGGAATTGTTTAAAAAATTGTGCCACATAAGCAAAAATAGTCGGTGTCTAAAATATTCCTCTTTTACGCATGTTTATAAGAATTCTGTCAAACTAGACGGTATCTAGAACTTTGTCTATTCAGTTAGAAGTGACTCAATAAAATTATTATTTTATTTCTAAATTTATATGTCATATCAAAATTTAAACGTAATTTTATTTTATCTAAGAAATCGAAAAAGACCCTAGATAGCAATCGATAGATTATATTGATTCAGCTTTGAAAACATAGCCAACAAGTATACCTAATGCAACCTGCATCTGAAAATTAATATTATCCTATAGGTTTAGATTTTTTTTTTTATTCAAAGTTTGATTATGGTAGATTTCAATTAATATTTGAAGTTATGATTTTACTATGGTATAATTAAATTTCCTTGTAGAATAATTCCATTACACTGTATAAATAAAACCATTCAGATCCTTCAAAAAAGACACTCAATTAAACAAAAAATTAAGTAACGAATTATGAGTTACTTTTCTCATTTCATATGTGAACAAGTTTCACAGTTCACCTAAAATTTCCAACACAAATCTCTCCTATCGCATTGGGCGGTGTGTTTGACGGGAAACAACTGGGAAGAAATTGGAGTTTGGTCCACACGTTTAGAATTTAGACAACTGCAAAAGTTGATGGACAGATTAGTCTGCATTTTCTCATAACCATTCATTCAATTATGCAGAATTTAGAACAACTGTCACCCAGTCCCCACTACGATTTCATATTCAGAAATTTAAAGAAGAAAATCCAATAATTATGTTAGTTTCAGCTAAGTTCATTCCCAATTAAAAATCCATTTGAACAAAGAAAGTGAGTCATGTCAGAAAGAAAGGCTAACTCAGTCAAACGTACCAGTTTGTACAAGTCCAAACTCAACTATTTTCAGAAATAAGCTGCTGTTTACTGCTTAATTTTTTAAAAACAAACGCCAACCAGCCTGAGTACAAAGTCAAAATTTGGAATCTATAGTATTTTCATTCATATTTTACCAAAATCTTGTATTTTCATTTGTAATTTACATCTACCTGTTTCTGTGAAAATCTAATTTGGCCTTTATGGCAGTTGAATTTTCTTGAAGCGGCATTGTAAACTATTTCTGTTTGATTTATAAAGTCTATCCTGCAGCAAAAGCAAGTTTAATGGAGTCTTCTTATTCATCGCCAGATTACCCGAGGGCAACAACCAATTCTGATGGAAAGAAAGAAAAGTCTCCTGTAAGTTCAAGTTCTTGAAAGTGATTTTGATTCCATTTTCATGTGTATAAATCATTAATTCCATTATTTTATATTCTGGGTATTTAACAGCTATGATGATCTGAAAGAAAAAAAAAACTTTTAATTCCTTGAAATAGTAGTACTTGTGCTTATCTTTTGGGTTTAATAGTAGAACACCTTGTGGGCATTATCAAGATTTTATATATTTTTACGCTTATTGATTGTTATGTAGTTGGGATTTGAGTGGAATACAAATCTTGAGACAGAATATCTAAGATTTGGTGTTTTCTATGATATGTGTCATCAGTGTGGAAGTGAATGTGATGGAACCCTTTCATTGAGTTCTTCAACTCGTGGATCGGAAGTTAATGGACTGCCAGATAAATACCGGGATACCGGAATCAAGAACAGAACTAACAAGAAAACTCTGAAAAATTTTAGGAATCTAAAAACATTCAGGAGAAGGGCTAGATCAAGAGCCGGTGATTGGATTTTTATGGATATGTCTGATGATGTAGTAACACCTCAACCGAAATCTTTGCTCCAAGTATCAGATGAAACACCGCGTTACATGCAGGCAACTAGTTCTTCCAAAGGGAAAAAGGCGAATTTTCAGGAAATTCACCCAAATTCTGAATTTTGCTTTGATAATAGTGATCGTAGTAGTTCACATTCTTCACAATCGAATGCGGCTTCTCTCAGTGTTGAATCTATGCAAACTTCATCGACTGCGTTGAACCTTAGAAATGTGAAAATTCTAGTAAAGAAGACAAGTTTCAAGCCCAAGAGGTCTTCGTTGAAGTATTCTCAAGTTTCTCAGGATGTAAATGTTGATAGAGCAACATATTCTTCCACACTCAAGGACTCGAAGTTTGCCAAACGTGTGGAGCTTGTTCCCGGGGAAACTGAACCTGAAAAGATTTCAGTAATGAAAGTGTGTCGATACCATCACTGTTCTCTTCATGGACACTGTGACGAGGCTCACGATCCTGTGCATCCAAAAAAGCACTTCTTGTACAATAGAAGACGATCGCTGAAGAAAAAAAAGAGCACGAAACCCAGATCCAAGGCTACACCTGTCACAAAACGCTCTAGGGATAGAAGGAAAGATCTTCAGAGATGGCAAATGATTTCTAATGTACAGCCATTGGCGCAAGGAGAGAGTGACAGTATAGCCACCTCTTATGTTGATAATGAGGGGGATATCCCTAGTTCGTGTGCATTAGAATTAAAAATGAATGAAACATCTTGCCTCAGTGCTTCAAATGTTGTGGATTCTGATACGGAGATCAATACTAAACCAAAATCTAGGCTGTTTGGAGATGTGTACAATGGTATTCAAGAGTCCGATCTTGTCGAAATTGCATTTGGTGAAACATCATACCCTGAGGAAAGTTACAAGGAGAGTCTTAATGGAGTCAAGAATTATGTTACACAGGAGCAAGGAATTGTTTGTTTGAAGTGCTCTTGCATCAAAAGACAACCAAATGAGTATAAAAGGACTGCTCATGTAGACTTCCCACACCGTCGAGTTCCAGAATCAAATCTTGGGCATGGGTACAATCATGAGACCCGTCAAAGTGGAGCTGCTGATTTTTCTGAGACACATGCATCTGCCATTTCTTTGAAACTAGATATACAAATCAGTGCCCAAAATAAGGATACTACAACTTCCATTCGAGGAGAATGTGATTTTACTGCATCTGACATGTCGAATGCATCAACTCCTGACAATTTTGACGAAGTTACAGAAAGTAACAAGGTCATCTCACCAGCTTCAGATAATACCCGTTTTCATGAAGAAAACAAACCTTTTTTAAGCAAAGTTAGGCATATCAGTATGTGGAACTTGATACATCAACATATGGCAGAAACTATGTCTGCAGAGTCTGTAAACCAGCCACTTCACGGTGTTGATGGTTCCAATGTATTGCCTGCAAAAGAAAGTTTTCAAATGTGCACGGATTTTTCTGGTTCTGATATGGGCATACCGAACAGCGACTGTGAAACTCAAGATGTTGAAGTCCGCAAGCTTTTTGCAGTCAAGCTAGTCCGAGATGCAATTGAGAAGATTCTTCTTCCAGAAGTTCAAGACCAGACATCCGATGATCAGTCAATGACAAGCGACTCCACTCATGAACACGAACTCTTCGAAAAGAATCAAGATGAAGGTGTGGAAAACACTCTCTCTCTCTCTCTCTCTCTCTCTCTATATATATATATATATATATATATATATATATGAGTGTGTGCGTCCATGCGCATGGATNAGCACCGATATTCATTAGATCATTTCTGTATATATATATATATATATGTATATATATATATATATATATATAAGTGTGTGCGTCCATGCGCATGGATGTGTTTGTATGAGTGTGAGTGGGTGTTTGAGGGATGGGGTGCTTTCATTTTCCTTTTTAAACTCACAGGTAGAATACTAATGATCTCCATTTCCACAGGCTGTGTACAAGAAAGTTCCAGAGAATATGAGCCTGATAAGGGGGAGGGCAATGCACCAGCTGATCTGAAGGAGGTAGGTGTCGCCGATACTGATATTTCTGGTCAAAAGATGGTGCACACTGACAAAAAGTTTGGAAGCAAATCTCAGAAGAAAGCACCAAAACATTGGAGTAATCTTAAAAAATGGATTTTGCTTCAAAGATTCATCAAAGAATTAGAGAAATTGAGGAAATTTAATCCAGGGAGCCCAAGCCCACAGCATCTGCCTTTGAAGCCTGAACCTGATTCAGAAAAAGTCAACTTACGGCCTCAAACAGTGGACGAGAGGAAGAAAGCAGAGGAGTGGATGCTTGATTATGCACTGCGCCAAGCAGTCAGTCAGCTTGCCCCTACTCAGAAAAGAAAAGTGTCTTTGCTAGTAAAAGCCTTTGAAACGGTGGTTAAACCGAATGAAGATAATAGCCAAAAATTTGCTGGCATTACCCATGAAGCGGACGAGTCTCTTTGTAAAGAAAATGGCGAAGACAATGAGGCCAAAGAAATAGTTGAATTGAAATCTGATAATGGTGAAACAGCACTTGAACACAACTTACAGGGAATTCAAGAGGATTCAGTTGTCTGTTTAAACTCCAAGTTTTGCAATGGTAATTTCCTCCCAACCATCGGGAAAAAAGAGACCAAAAATCCAGATTACGGAAGCAGTGAATCCAAAAATTTGATTCTAGATGGTAATGGATTATCAACTGAGGATACTATTTCGTCAGCTGTTCATAGTGGTACGCTCAATCTAGAAACGAAAGTAATGGTTGAGGCTGATCAAGATTCTGCGCCAGAACTCAGAGTATTTCAAGAAGTTAACAAATCTGATAGCAAAGATTCAGAGACAGAGAATGGGTCACACAATATCCAGTTGGAAAGGCAAAACTATATCAGAATGTGGCATTCGATATATCAGCATGTGGTATCGGGTATTGCTGCAAAAGTTGGAAGCCAACTTCTTGATGGAACAGATGATGAGGAAGTAGAAGATTGCAATGAATTGCCTAAAATAAGCAATGGTGATTATTTGGGCAAGGAAAATCGTGTTCCTAGCCATTTGAATGGTGCATTCACTAAAACTGATGCGGTCAAACTCGTACAAGAGGCAGTTGATGAGATCCTTCTTCCAGAAGTTCAAGACGACTCATCTGATATGCAATCAGTTACAAGTGACTTTAGTCCAGACCAGGAGATCTCAGAAAGTCTTAACAAAGAAAACGAGACGCAATGTACCACATGTGAAGGTGGAATTTCAGTTGGTCAAGAAGACCAGAGACTAAAGTCGGCCAGAAAAACCGAGTCACTGAAATCCAAGAACTGGAGCAAGCTGAAAAAATTAATCCTCCTCAAGAGATCCATAAAAGCATTAGAGAAGGCAAGGACACTTAACCTGCGACCACCATGGCACCACTCAGTTATGCCTGATACTGAACAAGAGAAAGCTGACTTGAGGCATCAAATGATGGACGAGAGAAAAAAGGCTGAGCAATGGATGCTAGACTATGCAGTTCAACACATTGTCACGAAACTAACCCCAGCCCGGAAAAGAAGGGTGTCAATGCTTGTTGAAGCTTTTGAAGCAGTTGTTCCACTTCCAGAGAAATTAACTCCATGAAGATTCCAATCAAGAATATCTATGCAAGGCCATTAGTTGTGTATAAAGGTATGCATGATTATTTTAGTATTAGTGATTGTATGCATTCATTCAAGTACTAGCTCATTTCCAATTTTGACTGACAAAAAAAGTGTTCATTTTAGAACTTACAAATTTTTTAAGCTTGGCCAAGCATGCAGTACACAAAGCGATAGAGTTGGCAAAAACGTGACCTTGCAAAAGTACTAAAATCAACTATGACATTTGCAATTGAGAAACACGAAAGAACTGTTATAATGACTATTAACAATAAAAATAGGTATTTTAGTCTTCTACAATCAATATTCTGCAAGTAAAGCACTCTGTAATAACTTTAATCAAACTATTCTTCTGGAATTGATCATCTCAATTACTTCAATGCAGATGCTTCAAGGATGACGTCAAGTGCCTCCGGGAAATAAATGGGTTAGTTCTTACGTAAATGGTCATTCTTATGCTAGTCATACTTTGACATCAGTTTTTGTGTTTGTTTTTTTTGGGGAATGTCATTATTCTACTATGGTTGTATTATCCATTCCTAGAAGACAGTTCTGTTATCTGCATTGTTGTGCATGTATTCTGGAGATACAATAATGTTTCATGTTTGCCTGTATTCTTTTGATCTTTCATTGAATGTATATGATGAAGCAGAATCGATCTCATTACTAATTATCTGAAAGATTTTTTGTGACTTCCTTAGTGAAATGTTTTCAATCCTCGATATTTGGGTTCTCTTTTGAGAAGTGTGCTCCTACAACGCTCCATACTAAGAAAAAGAGAAATGGAGGAAAATTAAAAGAAAACGAGCGAAAATTTGATATTTTTTTAATTTTGTTCGTCTTGTCCCCTTTTCAAATAGAAGACTTCTGTATGCCTGTTTTTGTGCGTCCGCTTCTCTTTCGGTTTTTCTTTGTATAGTTTGAATGTCAAGAAAGAGTTCTCATAATTTGGAACAGAATTTGTACTATTATGAGATCAAGTAGTTTAATAGATGAATTTGCGTCTCGCAATCACAGGTGCCAATGCATTAGAATTCTGTGCAAGAAAGTACATAACATGGATAGCTCTTATATCTAGTGATGTCAGTTGGGTCGAGCTGAATTCATTGGGGCATAAAGAATCGGTATGGCTTGGTCATGGTCTAGGTTGGCTCGAGTTTTTAGTGGCTCATAACGTCTTACTGCCTGTAGGCCAGGCCGCCATACTATCAAGGCTGTCTCAACCCAACCATTGTCTCTATTGGGCTGTGATACCAAAAAATAGTGGAAATTACATGTACCCCTACTTTTCAAAATCCAAGTTCAAAAATCAGATTTGGAGTTTTAATGTTCAAAATCAGACATTTTATAGATATATACAGATTTTTATATTTAATTAAATA